TTACGTAATGAACAACAAGTTAGGTCACTCATTGTTTCATCGAGGATTTTAGGACATTATTACTTAGTTCAATTGTCGGACTGTGTCAGTTGCCAGTTACACCACTGGCATATGGAGAATAGCCCATACCTAAAGAAAAAAACAACAACTCAATAATAAATGAGGAATGAAACAAGAACACCCAAAGAAAGGAAAGTTCATGAATTGGAATCGTCGTTGCCAACATAGATATCAATTGTTTTGTTTTTATTTTTTTTTTTCTCAACTCTTTATTGATTTACTCTTGCAGTGGAGTTACCTACTGGGAGCTTCCCTTGTGATAGGCGGTGTCTTCTGGAGTTATTTTCAGACTCCCTCCACCAGGCAAGCGACCTATGCACCCTTCATAATAATAGGATTTGGCATGTCAGTTATGTACGTCATGTCAATGGCTTTTGTCACTGAACTGATTGGAGACAATAAGGTTTGTGATTTGGAGAAATACTGTAAGGCTAATTTTGAACAGGTTTGTTCCGTAGCATACATAATGTCAAGTTTTCGTAAGAACGTGCTTTGTTTTGTCACGTCCAATTCCGCTGCTTGTGTTTAGTTCTTAATCAGTAATCTTTGTTGGCCTTTGAACAAGAGTTTGCATGAGTAAACTATAATTGGCATCTAGCTGGTACCTTGAAGAGGTAGNAGTTTTCATTCCTCGATGGCTAATCGATGACACAAGTGACAATGCAATCAATCAATGAAGACTGTGTGGCCTATCTATTTTACAGGACAGCAGTGGTTTAGTGATTTCCATTATAGTTGTCATGAGTAGGGTCTCAAGTGGTGGTATAGTGATCGGCATACAAAGCTTTTATCCGGAAAACGAGTAAGTACATCTATACAATCACCCACCAGCTAATCCATCCGTTCATCCATGCATCCATGCATCCATGCATCCACGCATCCATGCATTCATGCATCCATGCATCCATCCGTCCGTCCATCCATCATCCATGCACCCACGTACTAAAAGAGTCTACAACGAAGAAATATATAATATCATAAGAAATATAACTCAATAAGTTAGAATGTTGATAACAATCAAACTATACAGCTTCATACTTAATCGTTTCTGACCAAGCTTTCTTTTCTGGCTACCTAAAATCTGATCCCACATTTGGGGAAATCAGATTTACCAGATTATCCGCATGGTCGGTAGCGAAGAAGATCTCCGATTTTGAATTTTAAATTTTATAAGTATATTATGTATTGTATTGATTTTACTTTCAAGTGTGATTATGTATATTTTATCCACTTAAACTTGTAGGTTAATTAGGTATAGGTAGTTACACACGACCCCCTTAAGAATGCAATGCTTTTACTCTTATCGTGTTTAAATAAAGGATCTTACTTACTTACTTACTTACTTTCTTACTTACTTACTTGTTTTCTTTCTTATCGTAGCTCGAACTCAGACGAGGCGATTAGCAACTACGTACAGCACGTCTTTGTAATGGCGCCTGGGGTATTAAGTCTGGTTGGATCTCTGCTTGTTTTATGCTTGCAACCTTCTGTGTTGGCCTGTAAGGCGAAAGGTGGGCGATGTATATGTGTATAAGCTGATCCATTAACGAAAGAAACTTTTAGTGTCATTGGGTGTCATTATTACTTTCCTTTTTCGTCACCCGTACAGTATAGAATGTACAGAGACTCCCAAGTGAAATCATGCTTTGTCAATCAAAGTAGATTCTTTGTCCCAAGTTTAAGTTTTTAGTTT